ACTTGAAGTGAATGTTGATAAAGTGCTTACCTATCTATTACCCACCACGTTGTCTATGCTGGCTCCAGAATACAGTTAGTCGCTTCCGGATGGGACGAGGTGCACGGTCCTCGTGACGATGCTAGACACAAAGAGTGGTTTCATGCATAGAGTGTGGAACGTGCTACGGCCTAGCCACTGCTTTGTGTACGTCTGGTACGCATGGTTTCCCAATTAGATTTGAATGCTTCAACTCTGGCCACTGAAGGAGTGTGGGCTGGCTTCGTTGGTGAAACGTGGCTCCCGTCTACATGCCTCCCGGTCTTATTCCATTGGGTTCACAACAGACATATGGTGTATGGATGGATCTGTGGGTGGTGCAGCGCAAGCCACCCATGGTCCCTCTGTAGGCACAGGCTTCCTGTGGCTGTTCTATGGAAGATGCAATGACTTGCAAATCCGAACCGGATGCCGTCAAGTAAGCTTTACACCAGAGACCACGGCCGACTGCAGATGGGATTTGGCGAACTTGTACCAATTTTGACCAAGGATTGCCTGGTTTGAGACGTGCGATAGCGAACCAATGTGTCCCGGAAGGTGGCATCCTACCGTCAGAGATAATGTGTGGCCCTCGTGCTCTACGTTACTCGAGATGTCAGCTCAGCACATCATCACCATTGTGATTACAGTTTAGGTGAATGTGAGAAACACACTTTACCTATTGCGCCGCAATAGAAAAGGATACGATACGTCAACAAACGAGACATAAAGCATTATAGGATATAAGACAGCAGGTAATATACTGCTTCTGAACGCATTATACTTCAAGACTGTGAGCTTGGTTGGGAGAGAAAGATAAGCGGAATGCATAGGGACAAAGGAGCTTGTAACACAAACGCCATTGAGGTCTGCTCTTTGGGACCCCAGCCTGGCACCAACCCATGTTAACTTCAGGTTCAAGTTCAAGTTCAAGCTGGACTGGAACGATAGGATTATCCCATGAGTGTTCCTTCTTCGGCGGGTCGTTGAACCAGGAGTTAGCGAAGTTTGAAATACTGAAATACTTCGAAGTGGCGGCCTTCATTCCCCTTGACTAAGTTATTACTTGGCCTCTCCTCCTCTTCTTCCCTCCACACCAAGATCGCGCAAACAATACAAGTCGCGGGGTAGCTGTGCTGGCATATGCCACACGTGGTCCAGCCATCGGAACCTGGTGCGTGCAATAACGGTTCCGTGTGGATTACTCACTCTTCCTGCACACAACGCTGAACACGCTCATTACTCACACGGTGTTCCCACCGAATGTGAACTACGCTGCGAAGGCAGCGATGGTCACCATAGCTAGCTTCTTTATGTCTGTTGACCCGCAAGGCTAAGTTTCGCAACCGTACAGGTGGGTTGAACGGACGGCTGAATAGTAAACGCTACACTTTAAGACAAAAGTGGTGACTCGCTAGTGCTACATGTGGCGGCGATTAGTAAAAGTGCCTCAATATTTTGCTATACGGTTCGTGCTCTTGTTTTCTACTCTACTGGTACTGATATAGCTACCAATATATCTGGATTTCCCGACAACCTCTAGCTAATCACTATTAGGGATCAGCGCAGGTGTGGGTCCCTTCCAGTCTTATAACCCGTAAAACTATTGTCTCCCATGGCGAGGTTTTGGGGAAAGAGGGACCCCGACCTCTCCATAAACTCCAAGGAGGGTAGTGAGACTGAGTTAGTCTGTTCCTTAACCGTTTACCTATCTGGTATAAGTGGCTCTGAAGACACCTGGTTAGTACCCACCAGCGTAGCTTAATGGGGTAAGGAGATACGCAAGCCATCGCATCACGCTGTGGCCTAGTCTCATCGTGATAGTGGCGCGAAATCAATCTCACTCTCAAGGGTACAACCTACAGTGCACCATCCGGTTGTGCACTGTAGTGTGTCAAATCAAGACTTTATGGTCTGCCTAAAGCGCACAAGGGAGAGCTACCGCTATGATCGACACTAGGTTTGTGTAACGCTTATCTTTTAAACGCCAACTTGCTCCTGGAACTGTTGGAACTCGTCAGGAAAGTCATGGCTAGATGCAGTCTCAAGAATACCTTTGCTTTTCCTGACTCCGTGAGGCAACTTGAGCTAGCCGGGCAAAAGATGTTCTCAGTAGATATGGTGCCTCTTATCCAGGTTCCATTAAAGAAGACTACAGACTGTGAGAGTTCATCCAGTTGCGCAATATAGATGTTGGTATCCAAGCTGACCGATTGAGATAACTGCTACGCACGGGTGCGAGAAAAAGTCAATTTCAGCTTTATGGAGTAGCTATGGGTTTGCCGTTAGGGTCGTTGTAAGCGGATGCTTACCTAAGCAATTTGGTGAGAAACCAGCTGAATAATTCATCAGCAGCTTGGTGTATTACGGTCGATAGGTAGATGACATTTTTTGGATCGTGGATGGTGGAGTGTGCGTCGATGAACTATAGGCTCACTTCAACTCTGTATATGGTAACATTGCTTTCACTATCAAGCTAGAACATAATGACTCCTTGGCCTATTTAGATGTCGAAATCAAAAAGGCATCGGACGGATTAATGCGGAAGTGGGTGCACAGAAAGAAAACTTGGAATGGACCATACATTCATGTCCTTAGTTTTATTTCCATAAACCAGAAAGGAAATCTCCTCGGTTGCCTAAAGGAGACAGCAAGAAGGATATGTACAGAACATGCGCTTCCAGTTGTGTTGAGCTATATCCGTGGGGTGTTCGAGCGTAATGGATACGCCGAAAACTTCATCCTGAGGCACGTGGAATCGCGAGTGCCAAAGCTAAAACCTGTTTCCGAGGCGAACTGAATGATAAAGTGATCATTATCGTTTGCAAGTAACGCGATAGCAGAAAGGTCCATGCGAAGACTTTCTATAGTAGCTGCTAGAACGCCTGTCGCTGCCAGTCTGTGCGTAAGCCTCACCTCAACGCCGCTCGTGAGCTAGCAACTCAAGGACAGGATACTTCGGTCGCAGCTTTCCTTCTGCCTGTAAAATTTCTACTGCTCTTGTCGAGTAACATGTATTGGGAAAACGGCCTGCGACTGTCAATTGGAGTTTGTGAGCATTGACTAATTTGGCTCGACAGCGATGTGATGAATAAGGTGACGAGTGCTGTGTTGTCGCACCCAGTAGACTACGTGCACCAAATCGATTCGCATGACGTATTTGCACCAGTCTACTGTGTACCCGGACTTTACACACAAACAGCCAGTTGCCACCTGCTGGCGACAGCCCAGGCGATCGCAAGTCGGCCCTTAAAACCAGGATCTATGTGCACAGAAAAACTTGTCGAAATGCTAACACTACTTTGGCCACAGGCCAGCACGACTAACAATGGTGGTCACACCACTTCACCCTACCTTACATCAACCACACCAATAACTAGTCTTAACGATTAGACACTTTACTTCAGTGAAACATCGAATTTAAACCATTGTGTCTATTCCAGCTTGCTTTGTCGAGATAAAATTAACTTGGTGACGAAACCCTGAAAACCTGCTTGTTCACTATCTTTTGATTTTGAAATCGATACCCACTACTAGGTTAGTTACGTTTGATCATCAATGCCTTCATAGATTAGCTCTCTCCTTATAGGAGCATCATGTAAGCAATGAGCGTGTTCGCCTTCTCATGTTTGGTTCTGGAAGGGCTAGTAAGCCGCTAAGCACCTTGATTTCATGCACGAGCCTCTGATGGTTGGGCCGCGTGCTATGCACGCCAGTACTTCGACTACTTGGACGCGGGTTACTTTCGCGCTAGTGAGTGTGACCAGAAGAAGAGGAGGAGAATTAAACCGATAGATTGATTAAGAAGAATGAAGGCCATCGTCTCGAAGTCGGTTTCGATTTAAGCCTATCAGTTTCTTAGTTGAATTCCGAAACATGATGATTAAGTTTGGCTGGATACACTTTTTGGCACAGCGAAGACCAAATTTAGTGGCTCGGTTTGTAACCGTACTTTGTCCATTTTTCCTTTACTTAGCTTCCTTCTCAAACTATGATCCAGCTACTAGTGCATGATAAAAATACATAGTTTATTAATATTTTAGATTATTTTGTCCTTTCCGCTTTTTACTTTTAACTGACTGATTAATAGTGCTGCACAATATGGGGTCTCTCATCCTTAGCTAATGCGTTAGATGAATGTAAAAGGACCCCTGTTAGCACACTCATAAAGCCAGTTGTCCGAGTTATGTGTTTGCGATCACTTACTGACAGAAAAAGAAACATAAATGATGTATTGCATCTTCAGAGGACAGTAAATATTAGAACACACCGCTAACACCGCTGGTTTTTACCCATAAGTTTTATTCTTTAGTGCTATTGTAATTCCACTCAGCGTGATAGATCGAAAGGTCACCGCTGAGTGACCGTTTTGTGTGCTCCGGACCATCCCTGTTAGACACATTAAGGATAACTTACTGGTACTCCAAAAGATCTTCGGTGTAGCTTTACGTCTTCAGTACTAAATAAGAATTATTTGTGAATCGAATACTACTGAGAATGAACCGTAGTTACGACCACGAAAAATGCATTCACGAAAAAAGTTAAAGCTACAATGGAAACATTTTTTATGAGTGTTCAAAACTCTTCCCAGATATGCCTTACTGGGAACTTCAGGGGCACGCAAAACAGACACTCATGAGCTCTAACAGTCGTTCTGGTGTACGAACGTCGGGAACTTCTGTTATGAAAGTCACAAGCACTTATGCAAACATACTGATGAGAAACTGAACTGCTTAGTATATCGATGCAAATCACAGTGTCCATAGTGGTTTTTGCTTCTCCTTACGATGATGCGCCAAACTTGCAGTGGGATGGAATAGAAGAAGCTGATAAGGACACCCCATTTGCGCCGTACGAAACAATGTGCCAAGTGGACAATAGCAAACTGCCTCAGGGATAAAGGTTCACAGTAAAACTCTATCAAATGGATATGTAGACTAAGAATGCTAAAAGCAGTAGTGCGAACAGAATAGTAAACATACCTTTTTCTTAGTTCTGTTCACACGCTTGAGCAGTTGCTCCTTCTCATCCTGCATGGTAGTGATGTCCTTCTTTAATTCCAATGTAGAGAGACCACTAGATCTAAGAGAATCTAGCCGGTGGTGGATTGTCTTGAATGTCTCCAAAAGTGTGGTATACTATAAGTTGCACACATCAGTGATAACCATAAGTTACTTGCTGGTATAACTCGCTTATTTCTTCTGCCTGCATAAAAACATTCGGTACTTGCAACTTGATCAGGAATCTAGCCAAGTATGCCCGTTTCTTGAGTTCTGGGATTCTTTGGAGCAACCATTCTAAGATGGGGTAGATGACTGTTTTCTCTCCCAAAACTAGACCTTTCCGAAATTCACTCCTAATCAGTGGCGGATTTCAAGAAAGCAAATTTACATTTCCTGTGCATCGGTAGGGAATTTGTATCGGTAAACCCTTAGCGTTTCGTAGATTCTGATAGCCGTTTGGTCAGCTGACTCTTCGCGTATATCTATCTGGTGCTTTGAATTTGTAAGCAGGTGCACATGGACCTACTCTTGGATCGATTTCGGTAAGTACGTCATTCACAAGTTGAACCAGCTGCACGGATTCAAGAGCATCTAGACTTATAATATTTATATTCTTGTTAAATGGTTGGGAATTCAGCTGTTGAACGATATTGCGTAACACTTCGCCCATCGTTTAATTCCGGAGAGGGTGAATTACTAACAACAAAAAGGGAATTGAGAAGCTCATAAAGCAGCAAATAATAACTCTCAGTTATGGATAAATTTAGAGTCTTGCACAAATCCATAGTATATACAGGAATGGTCTGATAAACAAATGTGTTATTATAAAGCCGAGTTTAATGTCAGCATTAAAACAAAGTGCAGTATTTAACAATGTTAAACACAATTTCTGTGCGGCCTATGGGCGAAAAACTGGTGAACGTGCTGGTGCGACAAAATATAAAGGTCCCAAGGCGAATGCATCTGTATTGTACTACGAGTCGCCTATCATAGGGTTTGCAAGCACATCACAAAGCGGTTTTACAGAGGCAAAGCAAAGTTTTGTAATAGATCCAGCATGTCGTACCTTATTGAGTACGGTCACACAGACTCTGAAATGGATTGCAGAGTTATCTGTTCCCTTCCGTGAAGCTCCTCGTGCGAATTCCTTATGCAATTTCTATCCATTACCGTGGCTAGATATATTCGCCACCTCAAGCAGGAGCTGTGCATACAGAAGCAATTCATACGTCAGTTACTTTAACCATCACACACAGCCTTCGGTACATTCTCATTCGAGTTACTAGTTATCGCCGTTAACCATTGCTTGGTTGTGAAACTATTGTACCTAATAACCTTTGCCCTTCCATTAAGCTACCGCATTCAGTGATCGTGATTCATCGATTTGGTCGATAACTTTAGCATCCTAATTAAAAATTAGCCAAACTTAGCACCTTTACCATGTAACGCGCACTATATAAATGTCTGAGTCTGATAAGGTTTGCCGAAAAGAATTCTTAACGCAGCACTCTGAGACAACTTTTCCCATCAGCATTTTATGTCTGTGAAAATAACAGATAGAAAATATTTGTGTGGTATGCACTTATTCAGCCCTGTGGTGTAATAACAAAACAGAAAATGGAAAGGTGTCCACTTTCAGTGAGGCACTCTCCCCGTCCAAGGGGGCAGGAGCTGTGTCCCCGACAGCCCATCAAGAATCCGCCGACAATCAGACGGCAATCCGCAGAGCCCGAAATAAATCTAAATTGTTCAAGCTTCTGTGTGCCAAAAGGCTGTGGGGAAACCTTTTGCAGCGCACCCTTTATGCTTCTGTAGGAGGGGATAGGATAATAGGAAATATATGGCAATGTACATTGTCCCACATTTCCTATTATCCTAGCCCCACTAGTTGCCTTGGTTGTAACACGTTAACGAAACTAACTCACGCAAGTTAGCAGAAACACACAAATGGCTTATTTCTATGTAAGATTACATAACTGCCTCAGAAACGAGTTATTTCCCCCAGAATGAGCTCGTCACTATCGCGCTCAGATGAATGTTGAATCCAACGTTTGGTATAGCAATAAACCAGCAGTTCGCTGTAAGTCCTAGGTGAGCAAGAAAAATTAAGTGTATAATTTGGGTTACAAATTCTCCAGAGTTCGTTGATAGTCCCGAGATTGCCTGACTGTGTTCGTAGGGAGTACTCACATTTCGCTAAACCTCCAAAATCTTGGTTGGGTGCTCGGGTACGCAGGCCATGATTAGTGCGACATTGATGAAAAATATGTATGCGCGAGAGACCAAAAGGTGTCCGCTGGAATTATCGTTAAAACGCTCTGAGTGACAAATATTTTTTGTGTTTGACCGTCCAAATCGGACACCTTATGGACCGGGTTTTGGTCACTCAGGTTTTTATAACCCACCCTTACCATGTACCTTGAATTCATATTCTTAGTTGCACAAATTGTCAATATAAAGCCGAAAACGATCCCCAAAGTATAATTGCGATGTACTATAGTCGTTTGCTAAGCCGAAATTCGTCCCAGCTGAGAAGACTTTGAATCACACAGATTGTTTTTCCCACGAACTCTTACCATATACTGTAAATGTTTCTTTTCCTGCGTGCAAGTGCTGTAAAAGTTAAGCTGGAACCGATTTCCAAGTTTTAATTATATAATATTACGACTGTTAAGTTAAAAAGCTACGTCCAATAGCCTCAATGACGGGTGCACCGTACCAAAGGTTGGCGCGATGGTAGGCCAAACTTGCCAAATCTATCCGACGTAAATTCACCGGCTATACTCTCAAAGGTACTTTTAAGTTTGTCGACAAAATGCGTGATTTAAAAGTGGACGGGAAGCACATGGTTTATTTTAGGTTTTGTTGTTTGTTCGCCAACGTTCCTTTGGAAGAGACGTCTTTGGTGCTCATGCTCACAAAGTTGTGTTATCAGCGGATAATCCCAAATCCTTAATCCGCCTGTGCACGTGGGACATCCATTTCCAATTCAATGGAGCAATGTATCACTAACTAGATGGCGTGGCCATGGGCAGTAGGCTTTGACCAATCCTAGCTGATATTTTTAAGAGACACTTGGAGAACACCAAACTTTCTTCTTATATATATATATATACATATATATAAACATGCTTCGGTATACCAGATACCTCTACTACACAGTTGTTGTTCATACTAACGCTCAACAAATAAGGCATCTACTTGCTGCCCTAAATCAGTGCCATCCCTCGATCAAATTTATGATGGAAACTGAAACTGGCAACACCTTACATTTCGTGAACGTGAGCTTGAAAAGGAATGCCGTTGGTACGATCACTCGATCCGTGTACTTCAAGCCAATTGGAAGGGGACAGTACCACAATTTTAACAGTTTCGTTCCAATCAAGCACCAACGAGCGCTTGTGAGCACCACTTTTGCAAGAGCTCGTTAGATCTGCCCCAATGATATAATTAGCGGTGAGTTGCAGCACGTCTCAGCAACACTACACGAAAAATAAAATCCCAATAGATTCATAACACGCCACTCAAAAGCTAAAACAATCGAAAAGGGTGCAGCCATCTTCCTTAAAAAGAAAGTATTCAGCCAGCTACCATTCAAAAAGGACGAAAATGACAGGAGATTGCGATATCGTCTCCGTCAGTTCGTTAGGAGATATTATTATGCGGCCGATCTAGTACTACTCCCCATGTTAGGGGAATGCTCGGCAAATCCGAGCTGAACATGCCAGACTCAAGTTCAAGTTCAAGTTGGACAGGAACGGTAGGAGAATTCCCATGTGTGTTCCTTCTTCAATGCGTCGTCGAACCAGGATGGAGTTCGCGGGAGCGATTTGAAGCCGAGAGCCAAATCAATTTACACGAATCACATAATGGTCAACCAATCAATGCCCACGCGGCCTGCACTAGCAGTCCCTACTGTACCGGCCACGTGAATAGAATAAAGGTTAAGAGAAGGGAACCAACAAAAACAAAATAATGGTAATTGTAGTACAGGAGAGAATGTGTGGTTAAGACAATAATAGTAATAGATGTGAGAAGCCAAGGAAATAGATGTAGAAGTTAAGAACCAAACGGAAAGGTCTGAAACTGTAACACAAGGGCGTCGAGTCGATGTTCAAACTCCTTCACCGTTGGTGCTAATACTACCGCCGGGTAGTGCGTTCCACGAGTCGATGACCCTGCGTGACAAACGAACGTCAGCTCTAACGTGATCAGATCGCTTCTTGTACCTATCGTTTTCATTGTACTTGCGGGAGCAAGTATGTGTGCCAAACTGCGAAGAGGCTATCCACAAATATTTCAGAGCATGTCCCGCGTAACCTGGTGGCAGACGGACCGAAGTTAAGCGCTGGCTCCGTTGCCCGGCACATACTTCATTGCTCTACTTATCAATCTATACGTGAGCCATCCAGGATAATTAGTCGACAGATCCCTCCCCATCGGCTTCAGTTTGCAGGGGCTGCAGCGAACCGCATTCTGAAACCTAACTTATGTAAGCATATGAAATATCTGGATACACTTGCCTTAGCTAGGTGAGGCGTAATCGATTAGCTTTATTTAAATCGAACAATTTTATACTAGGTTTTACCATTGTGTATTAAATAGGAGCAGTTTCACTGTTTTTCGGTCAACAGCTGATGAGAAGACACACAATATCTGAATACAGAATATACTGTTGTAATGTTGCTTCTTATAGCTGTACTGAAATTATTAAAGGGAAATTCCTGTACCCAGTTAACCGAAAATGTTTGCTTGTCACCTGAAGTCGTCCAAAAGTTGTCTAGTTGGGGCGGTCGGACACAAAAGTTGGTCACAAGGCACTCAAACGGTCATTCGCGCCGACAGAAATTAGGATTTTGCTAAGAAGTAAGACCTTGTAGGCATAGAACGGATGCACCAAATATTTACAAGTTTATTTAACAACATATCTGGACGGATCACCACAATTGTTATAATATTAGCTGTTGCTTCTGCGAGTGACCAAATACGCCCGAATGGGACTGCCAGTCGTCTATCTTTGCGAACAGGTGAGGAACCCACACATATTCACACAAAGTTACTAAAGGTAAATAGTTTCTATGCTTCGATAAATCGGTGCGCAATTATACGTAGTTTATATATTTAGTCGAAGCAACTTATTCATTGATAAAATTATAGGTGTTTCCCAGGAATGCACATTTTATACACAAAGCATAATGCATGCATGCTGGCATATTTTCTCTCTGGCTGTTTTATTGTTTGCTTTATTTTATTATGGATGCTAAGCGACTTGTTGTTATTTTCTAAACGTTGTATAGCCTAAGTACCATGTCTATACATCAGTTGCAAAACCCGGAGCGACCGCCTAACGATAATAACGGTCGTCTGGTACAGTCGGTGTAACACACTGACGCAGATTCTCCACTTTTGTGTCCTATTTATATTCTTCCTAAGTTTTACAAACTTTTTAGAAGTAACATGTTTATTATATATTTTATATATTTAAAGGATTATAGCAATTTATACATTTAATGTACAAATAAAAATAGCTCACGGCCTTCGTTGCTGCTTAAATTCTGTCCAAAAAGCCACTTGTCCTTTTCTCGCTTAATTTCTGCGGAAGCAAGACCGGTTTCCTTCAAGTTGCCGACCGCAGTTTGAATTCGCGCGTGATTCTAAGCTGTTCGGTCC